ATTGTTAAACAAGTTGTTAAAAAAATACCAAAAAGAAATAATAACAATGAACAAGAATTATAAATTTTATTTGCTACTAGAAGCAATATTACATAAATCATTATCATCATCTAATTTGAATATGTTATTGTCTTTTTTACTTTTCTTTTGTCGATTCATATAACTTGAATCATCAGAATCTGATGATAATATTAATGTATCATCTAATTTTCTTTTTTCATTAGAAGATACAGGAATTAACTATAGTAAATCTTGTCTGTAATCTGATAATTTAGAATAATCTTGTAAATAATTTTTTTTGTATTCTAAAAAATGCTGGCGTCAATAAACTTAATTATTTTTGATAACAACCTCACCTAAATTGTTTTTGTTCAATTTTTAAACAACTGTTTTCAATTCATTTACAGTAAGAATTCCCTTATTGTATTTAACATCTCATTTCATATTTCAAAAATCTGTTTCATTGTCTTTATGAAAAATAAGTTTGGTTGTACACAAATCGATATTATCATGCCACCTGCCTTTAAATTCAATAATAAAATCAAGTCGACGCTCAAACTGACCCCAATCTCTTTGTGCTATTGCTTCATCCTCATGACTTTGATGCCCAAAATTAAATGATTCCTCAGGAGATTTATTCGATATCATAAAAATATACTTGGCGAGAAATGGCTTAAATCCTTTAGATTTAATTTCTACTTGCTCAGGTGTATCATTAAGATACTTAACTATATCATTCCAATCGATCGTTGTATACCATTCATCTAATAATACAACTTCATGCCTGTTATAACCATTTCACCAATTTGAACCAGACTTTTGATTTTTTTGCTTCAAATAAAGCTCTTGAGAAAAAAGTTTAAAAACAAGATTTGATTTACCAGCACCACCTTCACCATAAAAATAGAATGTCACAGAACGCCAAAATCTTTTTAACTCTTCATTTACAAGTTTTTCACGCCGTTGCTCAATATAAGTTAGATCTTGCAAACTTCTAAGCCAAAAACGAGAAAGTAATTCTTTGGGATTTTCCAATATCTGCTTAGAGGAGATATTTTCTTTAATGATTCAATTAATTCAATCCATATCTTTAATATGACGTTTATTAATCTCATCAGTACCAAGAAATTCACCAGCAGGATCTAAATAACGATAATCACCAAATCCCCAATATCCAACTTGATCTTGTAACAATTCAACTCTATCATTAGTCCAACGTGCTAATGTACAATTCTTAATACATTCGAAATTACAAAAATTGCATATCTTATTACGTTCTTGAAAATTATATTGACAAGTTTTTTTGTGAATTTTGCAACGATTCCATCGCTTTTGAGTGTAGATAAGATTTTGTTCGGAGTTACCGTTTATAAATTTTGGAAAATTCATTGCTATATATCCAAACATTGATTTAACCGATTTTATACTTTGCCGAGTTTTAAATTGGAGATATACTTGTTCATGGAATTGACCTGATTCTGT